AATTTCTAATAACTAGAGAAAAACGTGCTGGGCATTCATCATGCTAATACCATGTTATTTTTTGTCGTGTATTTAAACGTACATCTTGCAACAACGGAGATAATGTTTCTCGAATAAATCTACTGTATATATATTACAATTTCGTCAGAAAATAATATCAAATAAAAGAATAAATTGTCATTTCAAAAATGATGTCAAGCTCAATTCACAAAATTCAACTCGATTCGTGAAATTTGTGCCATTTGGTTCTTGATGCAGATTGACATGAGAGGGTATACGGATGAAATTTATGGCGATGAAAAATACATAGTAGAGTACACTCTACTCTGACTAATGCCATATTCACGTGCAATTTGACGCGAGGATTTATACTAATCTTATCGTGTTTACCTCGTTATGTGAGCTAGTCTTTGTAACAATGTTTACTATTCATCACGACATCTGTATGCATAATATTCAATAACAAACATTACTATATTTCAATAATCGGCATAATTGGAAAATTACAGTAGCTTTCGACAATTAAAGTATAGTATTGCATTAATATTCATGGTCATCAGTCTAGATATCTTTAATAAATGTAAATTTTTAAATTATTTTCTTGTAACTAGGATCTTTTCAGTAATCTTGAATAATCTAGTATCATATCATTATTGTTATTCGTCTTAACAGCCACTATCTCAAAGGATAGATATAAAAATATAAAAAATATTCTTTTTGAAAAAAACAGAATCTTCACATCTCCAAAGCGACTTTATCTATAGAAAAATTGTTAACACCATATGATAGCCCCCTTTCTATCGCAATCTTTGTTCGAGAAATTTTTCTTTAACTCCTATAATTTTGAAGATATTAAAGATTCTAATTCTTATTGGTTTACCCTGTATAAAACAATTATTTTTTTTACTGATTGATTGGTATATATATATATATCAGTTATCTTACGTTATTTGATAATTTTGTAAGAAAGGAGTTACATTGTATCTTTCTCTCTCACTCCTTCCCTTTCTCTCTCTTTCTCTCTTATTTCTTCCATGTTCCGATTATCTCAGATTTCGTTGCATATGCGCTGTATTTACGACAACATGTATGTATGTGTCGCGTCATTTTTATTATATCTTCTCGTGACATATCGATCGCAATAATAGAGCGATTAATAGTAACGAAACGCGGCTGTGCAAACGACTCGCTCATTCCACGCTATTATTAATCAATTGAGCGTCCCACTTATGATTTTATTCCGGCCACGTATACCGGGTGCTTCAAGCAAATCTCGTCGAGTTTCGAAAGCATGTGACACGGAATAAACATTAATACAAATGTAAACGCGCTCTTATCTAAAAATTTGCGATGATCCTTTTGAATCACCCGGTATATCAAGCAATTTGCTTAAAAAGAAACGCTTCAGAAAATCCGCACGAATAATGTCAAGAGCACACGAAGGGAAGATAAATTCTCCCATAAGGGACTTTCGTACGAGCGATGAATCTTGAAACGTCGTAGCAAAGAGAGATATTCTTCACAATAAAATCGAGCAGGATTTATTTATTACAAAAATTGTAGTAAATATCAGAAACAAATTTTCATGGATTCTGGAATAAATATTCGATCATGCTCACGCTAAGCATGAAAGTCTAAGATTCCAACCTTGGAATTTCTATAGATTTGAATTCACCGTTCTGAAATCTATAGTCCTGGCTTCAGTGAATCTTTGGATTCAATACGCACGAGACTTATTTATGTCTCGATTCGCTTGATATCAAAACAGGATTGTGCGATTATAAATTCTAGGAAATACGCTACCGATGCGGTGCAATTCGTTTATAAGCCAGTGGTAATATTAAAATATATTATTAACAAATATATTAAAAAATTAAAACATTGTGGTTCTATTTAATTTACTCTTTTTCCATTAATATCACGAATATCGTTATTAATCGCATATGAATAAATGGACGTTAGAGCAAAGCGAACTTCATAACGCGCGGAACTGTTTGCGGGTAAATAATAAACAGCGCCGGAACTGCGCGAGGATGGACAAATGCATAGATTTTCACCAAGTTCTAATGAGGGACAAATGCGGAACAGGAGATGCACCATTCAATTTTCGTCGATAGATGGGTAAATCTGATTTTCCAGCCTCTCTCAATTTCCGGCCGCGAAACAGGACGAATTCATCGGCTGTTGAACATTTTCGACGAATCTATCGTTGGCATCTATCATGCTAATCTGCAGTAACCAATGATCATTCTATAATCTTTCCGTTCTCTCTTTCTCTCTCTCTTAATTCTTAAAAAAATATCAAAATATTTCTATATATAATATAATTCCATCGGTAAAATCGGATCTAAAGACTTGCAGATTTAAGACTCAAAAGTGAGAGATTACAAAATGTTTTCGGGATATTTTATAACAGCATAACGCATTTAAGTCATTTTTCGCGTAAAACGAGAAAAAAGAAGCGCACGTTTTTCTTCTGCAATCTCTTTTTGCTTTTTCCGCGGTAATCATAGTGCACCCACGCAAACGTTTGAATCATCAAAGACGAGAGACGAAGCGAAGCTTACATCACGTACCACCAGCTGATTGCTAGATCGCAATTATAATATAATCAATTTCAATCTGAAGATCAATTTTATTCTATTTAGATTAAGTTATTTAAAAAGATCATTTTTTCACAAAAAATTTTTTTTCTTGGCTATTTAAAATTTACAATGTTTCGAAAAAAATTATGTCTGATTTTCGTAAACCATTCCTTCTGCTATTCGATATAAAAGTGATAAATATATTTACACTGTCATCGTCACGAACAGTCAACAATCAAATAATCATCTAATATCTTTCGACAGTATACGAAAATGTGTGCACAATATCCCAAACTGGCTATTCTATTGTCTTTGCAGTTTGCAATCGAACTGCTTGAATTGCGATCGTGTATATTCTCGAGAATATCCGAGCATAAGAACATTTATTCAATATTCTCTTTTGTCATCATTGAAATTCCACGCGGAATAAAATCGCTCACGGGAATTGCTCACCTGCTCGAAGAACCTAACATTTGTCAGCATCGGAAGCGACTTTTTAGATGGAGAAACGAGGATCGTTTCTCCACCGTTTATTTAGTTTGAAATTAAATGGTAAACGATAAATTTGACGTCATACATTCTTGTCGTGATTTAAACTATAAAGATAGAAAAAGAGGGAAATACAAATTTAAGAGATATCGCATAAATATATAAAACTATATACATATATAGTGTTTACAGATCGAAGAAACCATGAAAAATTGTGCCGAATTAAAAATAATGTATAAAACAATTGAGAAAAATTATATTATTATTAATATAAAATTAATAATTTTTGCTAACATTAATTAATTATGTATTATATTTTAAACGTAGATCAAAAATCTAGCAAATAAGAAAATATAATAAAAGACGTTCCTTGCCGCCACGTCTATCTGGACCGTATAATTTGGAGTTGCCGTGATTTTGAGAGGCGAAATCGACCAACGTGCTTAGACTAACGAATCTACTTGAAGAAGAGGCAGCGAAAACTAACAATAAGTGAGAAACGGCAAAACTCGCGAATCGCGAAAATAGACAGGAGATGTGAAGCAGTGAATAATAGAGTTGTCCAGAGCAACTGAAGCGACGATGGAAGAACAACGGAAACAACAATGGAATGAACTGTTTCTCTTGTCGACATAGCTGTTCGTTTCGTCTTACCGTTATCATCATGCAAAGTTCGTACTGATTACACTTCGGATAAAGAAATTAATTTGTAAGTCTTTCATAATAATTTAACATATTACAAATATAAAATTGTTACAATAATTGTATGTGTAATAATCTGTACATTCGAAAATTTATGGAATAGTGAAAGATACAAAACAAAAATTAGAAGATCGAAGAGTCTACCACGTAAAACGAAGCAGATATACACCAAGAAAAAAGTTTTATTGACGAAATAAATATTTATACTTAAATCTTTACTTTTGATAGAAGTAATTATTTATTCTATGTAACAAAAATATTAAATTTTAAACAAATATGTATATTATACTCTGAGTATATTATTTTATACTTTCACAATTTCTACATTCAAATAACATTTCTATGAAATGTGTAATACTATGTATTAAATAAAGTAAATTTCGGATCTGACTATGTAATTAATTACATATTAATGTTATCTAATTAACATAAAAGCATTTTTTCTCGGATATTTTCTTTGTATTTATATATAAAATACAAAGAATGTATTTCTTCTCTCAGTGTTCATTTATATTTTACTGTATATCAAAACTTTTTAAATGTATTTAAATAAATAGTTCAATTAAAAAATTTAGAGATATTTATATAAATAAATAAGTTATAAGAATCTTCCGTATAAATAATTTTTTTTATTACATTAAAATTTTGTTGTATTAAGATATTTCTTTCTTATTATTAGTATAAAAATATATAAGATACTTTAAAAAATATTTTGCTATGTATAACAAATATCAATATCTAACATCAAACAGCTAACTCGTCAAATTAAAAGTCATTCCTTTCGTGCTCTGGAACTCCGGGACACTTGTGAAAAATTTGCAATCAAGTACCTCGATCGAGAATGACAGGAAACAAGAGTAAAGGAGAACGATGTCTACGACTGCGCGAGGCAACTATTCCTTTCTTTCTTTCGCGGCGACACGCCGTATTTGCTCTCGTCGGCCCTTCAACGGGCAAATCGAATCCATCGAATTTCAATCATCTTGCATCTGCCTTGTTACTCCAACGAGTATCATCGATAACCTTCAGCGACAAACCGTTCCAATATTTCCCGCGGTTAATTTTGGAAAACGCGATAATATTTCATCCGCGCATTTAATTGAAAAAAATGTCGAGCTATTTATAGTAATCTTTTTATAAACCATAGAGAGTAAAATGGAAAATGCGCGCGCATATTATACGACGAATATGCCAAGAAAATTCTTTAAGATCAAATACACTTACTGATTGAGCGTTCGATCGTTGCTGCCGGTGGTCGCTGAACCCTGCACCCCAGAAGCGGCAGCGGCGGCGGTGGACCCCGAGTCGTGATGCCTCCGTTCCTTGTGGACGATGCCCATCAGCTTCATCCACGGGTTGTTGGCCGCATGGGTGCCCATGCCGCCGCTCTGCCACATTGCGCTCGCCAGCCTCGCTCTTTACGCGGGAGCCCGATCCGGGCTCCGACTTGTTCACGAACCTAGCCGCGAGCGGCCTTTCTTGCGAAGGACTAACGTCCTTCTCCGTTTCGTCCTGTCCCGCCGGATCGATTTCCTCCGACGGAAGCTCCTCGCTCTTCTTCGCGCTTCGTGCAATCCGCGCGACGAGCTTGGGACGTCCTTGATTCTTTTCAGGACGCTGTGTCGCGAGGACACAGGCGGGCGTCCTGAACGGGACGCACGGCTCAGTACCGTGATCCTGCGAGTCCGCCTCGAGTTGAGTTACCCCTGAGGTAACCTCTACGTCCTCGCGGGGCCCCACACGGCGCACCTGCAGCTCCACTGATCCTGGGTAGGTGCGAGGTGCCCTGCGCGTAGGCCCCGTAGGCTCCCTAGCCCGGCCTCCGAGCACCTCCACCATCTAATCCTTCGTTTCGTCACAAGGCTTTGCCGGCCCCGCACCTTCCTGCCCCCACCTGGATACCACTGTAGCCCGTTTCTGTGCACTCGCACTCGCACTCGCACTCGCGTTTCCTGACGCCCGATCTCGCAGCGGCGTCGCCCGAGACGTCGTCCTCGGAGCTTCCCGTCGCTATTTTCCGATGTCTTGCTTTCTGTCTGGTGAACGTCAAACCACCGACTGAACGAAGGAGATCGGCAAAGTTAGTGAGATAGCGATAGATCAAGATTTGTCGAATTTTACGGAAGAAGAGATTACAATCTTTCGCGCACTGATAAAATGTTGAATTGGTTCTCTCTCAGAGAGAGCATCTAATTGGTCGGGTACTACAAAGTAATGCATCTCGTGTGGCTGCGATAATAAAATATCCAATGACTTCAAACTCTCGAAAAATTTTATTTTAAATTTTGCTTATTTCTAGACAGATTTCTAGACAATAATGATTATTCGCCATACATAATTGTATTTTGCTATCAAAAACCATTGTATGGCTAATAAAATTAATCGAATTGTGGCCACTTAGTTTCAACTATAGTAATTGTTAAAAGTTATCGATCATATTTGCAAGCGCACGCAAATATCTTCTCTTGATAGTAAATTTTTAATTGATATAAAAGTTCAATCTCATACTGTAGCAATTTATTTTTATGTTTGATCTTTAATAATTAAATTGGAGCATCATAAAATAGCAAGACAATCTCGAAAAGAAACTATTAGAATCGAAAGAAATCAAATTATTTCTTCACTCGCGGGATCTCCGTCTCATTCAAATGCAAAAGAAGATTGCAATATTACTCTCTTAAACAAGAGCTTGCAATGATATACATATTTTTTAGAAATATTTTGCTGTACTGTGTTTAAGGCAGATTGATCTGATTAATACATGTTCACGGCGCTTTAATTTTTGTGAAATAATTTTTTTCTTCTTCGATAATCGCACACACAATTATCATTTCAGATTATCATTTAGCAAACACATATTATATGCAAGATATTTAGAAACCATAATTTAGAATTTTTAATCAGAGATATCGTCACACACATTTTTAACAAAAAGATCTTATCGCGTAAAGATATACCTGCAAGCAAACTTTTTTGAAATAATTTAGAATTTTTAATCAGAGATATCGTCACACATATTTTTAACGAAAAGATCTTATCGCGTAAAGATATACCTGCAAGCAAACTTTTTTGAAATAATATAACTTAACGAGCTTATTAACCGCTTGCTAAAAGGGCGCAGGAAAAGTGCAAAAAATAAATATTTACTCTGCAAGGGAGGGGGACTTAATTCCTATGCTATTAATAAAGGTGCTATCATGGAAGAACGAAGCTAAGCCGGAACGAAAAAAAACGGTCGCAATGAGGGGAAAAATGGAATTACTTCCACCTCTCGAGAAACGTCACGCGCCAGCCGTCCCATGCAAAGAAGATTTACAGGACAATCTCCAAGGTTACTTTACAAGCTTGTGTATAATCGCAATTGCATTATTCGAGATATAATTACGTGGATAAAGTTCCGAATAGGTGAACCCTCCGATTTTTTTGAAACTACACTATTTTTTGTATTTTTTAACGCTGATTACAAATATAATAATGAAAATTTGCGACAAGGTCATTTTCAAGGTCAAAACAAAAAAACTGAAAAAATATAACTTTTTAGACATTATTTTAGACAAATAGGTTTGCGTGGAACTTCGCTCTGCGTGGAAAGTTGCAAGCCCATGTGGGACCTCGCTTCGCGTGGAAAAGTGTATGCGTGGAAACAGTGGGTTCCGCCCCCCTGCGGGGGGCTCCACTACCGAGAAACTAGACAAATAGGTTTGCGTGGAACTTCGCTCTGCGTGGAAAGTTGCAAGCCCATGTGGGACCTCGCTTCGCGTGGAAAAGTGTATGCGTGGAAACAGTGGGTTCCGCCCCCCTGCGGGGGGCTCCACTACCGAAAAACTAGACAAATAGGTTTGCGTGGAACTTCGCTCTGCGTGGAAAGTTGCAAGCCCATGTGGGACCTCGCTTCGCGTGGAAAAGTGTATGCGTGGAAACAGTGGGTTCCGCCCCCCTGCGGGGGGCTCCACTACCGAAAAACTAGACAAATAGGTTTGCGTGGAACTTCGCTCTGCGTGGAAAGTTGCAAACCCATGTGGAACCTGGCTTCGCGTGAAAAAGTGTATGCGTGGAAACAGTGGGTTCCGCCCCCCTGCGGGGGGCTCCACTACCGAAAAACTAGACAAATAGGTTTGCGTGGAACTTCGCTCTGCGTGGAAAGTTGCAAACCCATGTGGAACCTGGCTTCGCGTGAAAAAGTGTATGCGTGGAAACAGTGGGTTCCGCCCCCCTGCGGGGGGCTCCACTACCGAAAAACTAGACAAATAGGTTTGCGTGGAACCTCGCTCTACGTGGAAAGTTGTAAACCCATGTGGAATCGTATATGTACTGCAAAGTACATGCTTAGATGGGAGAACAGATATAAGATTTAGATTCCATCGTTTTTGTTGAAAACTATCGTACGGTAAAAATTAATAGGACATAAAATGTTTTTCTCTGTAAGATCTAAAATTGTTATGGGTTTTTCATGATTTTCACTATGAAAATGAGAGATGCACCAATTTTCATTATGATATTCGTAATCAGTGCATCAAAATACGTAAGAATACTGAGTTTCAAAAAAATCAGAGGTGAGCACTTTTCGGAACTTCACCTGCCGTTTTTATTCTTTAACATCGATTTTCTCGAAAACTTTCAGTTTTACGCAAAAAATGTATAGAACATAAATGATGTATTTTTACAAGAACTACAACTTTTATTTGACACATTTTTTTCTTACATCAATATTTATCGAAATAATATTTAAAAAGTTATATTTTTTCAGTTTTTTTTAGTTTTGACCTTGAAAATGACCTTGTCGCAAATTTTCATTATCATATTCGTAATCAGCGTTCAAAAATACAAAAAATAGTGTAGTTTCAAAAAAATCGGAGGGTTCACCTATTCGGAACTCCACCCAATTACGTTACCATCGTAGCAACACAAAATGTCATTTTCATCAGTTAAAGAATATCTAAAGCTAGATGCGAGTAGCATCATTAGAGTGAGCATTTGGCAGGTCTTATCGTTAGTAGGAGCGTGAAAAATTGGTGCAGAGTAAACCGATACACATTTATACAAAAAAAATACATTCAATAATGATTTTAAAAAGATTTTCAACTAAATTCCAAACGCATAAGAAGAAATTTATCACGCTAATCAACTTGTTGAAAGTTCACACGCGCACACATACGGCGCGATCATTAATGCATGACAGTGCCGGTATTTTTCATAGGCTCTAAGGAGTTAAAGAGGCGTGCTTCAAAGGGTCGAGCGCTTCAAAGGGAGCAAAAAGGATTTTAAAAAATGCCCGTGGCGCTTGCATGCTGGCCGACGCGCGCGTGTGCCAGATGCATAAGAACCGCAAACAGTCCACTATCGATCCCCTTAAAAATATCTGCAAATTGGCGTGGTAATGGCCGAGGGTCTCTCGTCAGAGATAAGTCGCGCGCCGCTATAAACGCCTTTTGTTACTGGACATATTCTTCGCGCCAGCTCGCCAACTGACGACGTGGCTATGGCAAACTTTCGCGTGTGAGATGGTGAGGTTCTTTGTACGAAGAACGGACGGAGCTAACTACATACATAAACACAAACATAGAGAGAGAGAGAGAGAGAGAGAGAGGGGGAGGAAGAGAGGAAAGTATGGGAGAATTTTAGCATGAGGATTACAATATATTGATCATTAAAATATAAAGCGGAGGGGCGATGTGTTCGATGATTTAAAGGGTAGAAAGGTAGCTTATCGTGACCTTATTGTTGCGAAGATCCTCGAGTAAATAACGATTAAAATAAATTATATTTTGAATTTGCACAATAGGCGCAATTTCGACCAATCATGCTTTTCCTTTTAATGTTCTTATACATGCACTAAGAAAAAAAAGTTGTAAACTTGACTAAATGCGCGTTTAGTGTTGGTTATCATTACTTTCGTTTAAATATTTAAGTATTTAAAAGTGTCGTATTTAACTTGAATACTTAAATATTTCAACTAAACACATTTAATCACGGAGCTAACTACATACATAAACACAAACATAGAGAGAGAGAGAGGGGGGGGGGAGGAAGAGAGGAAAGTATGGGAGAATTTTAGCATGAGGATTACAATATATTGATCATTAAAATATAAAGCGGAGGGGCGATGTGTTCGATGATTTAAAGGGTAGAAAGGTAGCTTATCGTGACCTTATTGTTGCGAAGATCCTCGAGTAAATAACGATTAAAATAAATTATATTTTGAATTTGCACAATAGGCGCAATTTCGACCAATCATGCTTTTCCTTTTAATGTTCTTATACATGCACTAAGAAAAAAAAGTTGTAAACTTGACTAAATGCGCGTTTAGTGTTGGTTATCATTACTTTCGTTTAAATATTTAAGTATTTAAAAGTGTCGTATTTAACTTGAATACTTAAATATTTCAACTAAACACATTTAATCAAGTTAACAAGTTTTTTTCTTAGCGTAGCGCGTTTCATAGCATTATAATCTGAAATTTTCAAAGCTAACGTATTAAAAACGACTGAGTTTATTTGCATCTTAAAAATTTTAGATATTTCTACACGCGAAATGTCGTGAGCATCTGTCAAAATCGCGATAATATTTCCATTAATCGCGAGCGCTATGTTACATATATACTATTACAAAGACAAGACGGTATGTAATAAGACAGAAGTTCTTGAACGAGAGAACCAATCCTAGATTCTATCGGATGATAAATTCGACACGGTGCGCATTTCACGATTGTCCTGCGCAAATTCCAGGATACCGTCGCGACACGGTCGCTCTCCTCCTCCTTCGCCACCCCTTTTCTCACCTCACCGCCGGATCAATGCACCCCTGCAGGTGTATCTGACGACGGCGTTCGCAGCCCGAGAAATATCGCAAACACTGCACTTTCGCTCGTTTCCACAACGCGCGCCGCCGTAAAGCCCATCGCCCTTCCTTACATTAGCCCTCATCGGCCGAGGGATCTCTCAACCGGCGTGATAACGTCGCGATAATGTCGCGTTGTTAGGTCGCATTTCGCTGCACACACAGCGGCGAAAAAAATCACGTCACACGATATTCATCGCGGATCCGCGCTCTCTCATTGACGGGACGCTATTTCCTCCCTCCGATCTATCCCTGTCTTTCCCCTGCCCTTCTCGGTTTCGCACATTTATTGGCCCAAAGCCAGACGCAGCACGAGACCGGCACGACTTTGACATATAGTAACAATCTCGAAGGGAAAATGGCCTTGTACGTATATGTATAGTTGATGAATAGGGTGGTTTAAGGCTAATATATAATGGCATTCACATATAATGCTAATTATAATACTTTTGCAACAATTGTCTAAACAAATAATTTCAAGATTCATGAATTTATGTTAATATATTTATGAGTTTAAAGAGATCTATATTACAGATATTCGATACGGTAATCATTTACAGATCTTGCGACCAATCGTAAAAGCGGACCAATCGTAAAAAATGGATCGTAAAAGCTTTTTAAGTTTTTAAATTTTCGAAATTTCTAACGACAACTTTCAAGATCTTTTTTCAAATTTCCAAATTTTGATTTCATTTTTAGGATTCTTAATCTTTAATTTTGAAATTTCTCCCCGAACGTTCTCTTATTTAATTAAAAATTATCAAACTACACATATTGACGTATTTACACGTGAAATAAAAATACAAACCACACGCGAATCTCGACTCAACGAGCTGTCAACACCATCACGACCGCGATAATACGAAAACCAGATAGTCACTCAAGTTGCTCCTCGATAAGCGTGTCGGATATATTCTACGCTTCCTCTCCTCGCGCGATCATCTGCCTGCCCAAACTGGTTGAACGCTCCTCGCAGGGAAAAGCGAGAAATCCACACGCGCACTCCGCGGTCGAGCACGAGCGTCGAACCTGGACGTACCCATCGCCGACACCACGGCACAGGAGCAGCCAATGGGATCGCGCGATCTCAGCCGCATTGGCGGTGCGTGAGAGAGCTCGCGGACAGGGGAAACACACGCGGCATCCCCGCTTTCGCATCGAACCACGTTATCCCATGAGATGCCACGGCGAATTTGACCTGTCGTGATCGATTGATCCCCTCGTTGAGACGCGTTAAACTAGACGCGATTAGATGAATTGAAACCGAATTGGTACACGATGGCAATTAATCATTTTCGTAAAATCATGCCAATTTCACAAATTTTCAATGAAATTTTCATGAAGTTATCGACAAACTTGTAACACCCTTTTCAGCTTAGAGTTAAATAAGCCTAATAATTAGTTCAAAATGTTAAATGATAAAATCCACATCAAAAATTTTTAATATCAGCAACAACGCTGGATCGACTGAAAAATAAATCAGTTTAAAGGCATTAACTTAAACATGTGACGAATTGTTTGCCATATATATAGATCGATTAATCTATAATATATTCAATAGTGATCTCTGATCACAACTAAAACCAGGATAAAAACGAGAATCGGATGGATTAAGTTCCTTAATAAATTTCAGGGGTACAAGTAAACAAGAATATAATCATTCTATACAAAAACAACACAACGTAACCGCATTTTTTATCAAAGTATTGGAACGTAATAACCATGTGATCAAATTTCAGCACCTAATATGATGGAAAGAAATAAGTAATTTTAATTTCACGTAAAAAAGTAAAAAGAGATGATTTTTTATAAATAAATTTTTGAAGCTCAATATAGTTGAGTAAATAAAACTAAATAGATTATCAACATCAAAGGTTATCAGAATCAGTCACGCGTACGGACAGCCGCAGTCGAAGTCCTCGTGAACTTTCGACCTCGAAGGCTCTATGCTCTTCTCGTGGAGAGCAAGTCTCTCCTCGAGGAGAAAGTTCTTTAAACAAATGATATTAAATATCTTTACACACAATTTGCGTAATTTTTATTATTCATCCCTGACATATTTGATTTTTATATAGAATGCTGTAAAAAAAAATTCATTAAAATGTGTCTCATTTATCCTTGCCAGCTAGCAACATCCCAATGGATATAAGAAAAATATTTAACTAATATGATTAGTAACAATATCTCCCTCAATTTTCGACCACAAGTCAAATTAAGTAAGCTTCAAAATCAATAGAATTTCTTTCCGACAATGCGATGCCTCGATGCAAAATAATATCTTAAATGCAACAGCAATAATTGTGATACGACAACCAAATTAAAACGACAACAAAATTAAAACTCTAACAATAAGCACTCTTCACACAAAAATATGAGAAATTTCATCGCGCAAACTTGCACACCCTCGTTACTTGCGGTCCTCAAATCAACGATATCCTAATAACGCAGAGGGTCATTCGCGATCATTCATGATCTCGGCATCGTTCGATGCTCGATCGGCGCGTTGAAATCTTCCGGCCGGTTTCGCAGCATCCGCGGCGAGATCCAACGTGCTCTCCGCGTCCGCGAGACAGCTCTTTCACCGCGGGAGAAACGACGGGAACGCCAACCCTTATCACGCGGCACCCCGAGGGCTCACCGCGAGATCCCACCCTATCGAAACTACTTGAAAGAATCTGCCTACCGACAGTCGTATGCGTGCGTGCCGGAGCGCTATTTCACAAACGACCGTAAAAGTGCGTGAGCTTCGCTGCGTGCACACAACAAAAGTCCCGCAAGGCGACGAGCCGAGGGGACGCGGGGAGAAACCGAGGGGGACGATAACGAGGGAGGGAGGAAGAGAGTGACGCGGCGGTGTGGATTATGGTTCGTGGGAAAAGGCACCCCGACTCTCGAGAGAAACGGCGGGCGGCCACGAGACTCCCGCGCGGAGCCCAACGTTTCGCCTCACTGCTGGGCTCACTGCAGGCTCTGACGCACCAGCAGAGCCTGCCACCTCCTGTGCGGCCCACTGCCCCTCTCTCTCCCCCAAACCAACCCCACCTTACCCTTCCCCGATCTAGGCGCCGCGCGCCAACCGCCCACATTTTGCCCTCTACCCTCCGGTTACCTGCCCGTCTGTCGGCTCCCTTTCTCCCTCCCTCCACACCGCTTACCTTCTCGTCATCCCTTCCTGACGAAACTGCTTCCTTCCAACCCCCGACGCAACCCAACCGCGTTGGTCGCCGTACACTTTCGCGACTCTCCGCCAAACAAAAGAATTGAAAGAAGGTGTACAAATAAGCGTGTGCGAAATTGAGATAAAAGACATGGGAAGAAGAGTTCCCAAAGAGAGAGTCGAGTGGATTACAACATAGAAAGTTTGAGGAAATTATTTATCGCTCGCTTTCTTCGAGATCAAATCTCTTGAGACAAACCTAATACTGTGGCGATATTTCCTGGTGCGAAATGCTATCGAGAGAATAGATTATGTAAACTCTTTTCACTAAAGATTTTTTTTGTTACTCTCGCCCTCACACGTTCGTCTTAAAAAATAAAACGCGTTAGCAAAACGTGTTTAGACTCTCTTCGATATCAATACTGCTTACTAATATCTCTCGCAAACGTAAAACCTGATAATTGAATTTGTCATTGTCGAAATAGAAAAGCATTGTTTTGAAAAAGCATGGGAAAACATTCTTATATCATTCGTTCTTTGTGTACACTATTCGTGTGTAACATTATAAATAAAATAAATGAACAATTAAACATAATATAATAACATAATTATTAAATTAACTCACCAATCGTCGCCACTGCTGTTCGCACTTGCGTTGCCATTCCCAACTTCCCCGTTTTTCACGCACGTACAGACTACAAATTAATCAGAATAACGCCATCAATTAAACGATTACACGCGCTAATTAACGCGACACGAACAGCACCTACCACATTCCCAACTCTTCACGCACACGCATAACGTATTTTGGGTTATAACGCAATTATTAAATAACGCAACGTGCTTCAATCCTGTCGTTCCCGCTATTCCACAGAAAGGCGATGCGCTTTATTTAATATACATACGAGCGATTCAAAATACAACACGGAAAAAAAAATTAGCTGCCGTAGCTAAAAACTGCGTATGGTAACTAGATTTCAGTTGTAATATATGGACAGCGAACATCTTAGCTGTGACACCTATTTATTAGGTGCAACAGCAAACCGTTTTGCTGCAGTTTAGAAATTTATTTTGCAAACCATGATTAGCTATGGTAGCGAAAATTTTTTTTTTCCGTGAAGATATTAAAAATATAGCGGTTGATATATCAACCGCCGAGTAACTCCTAAGAGTCGAGAGACGATCAATCACTAAAGAGTATCTTAATTATCCGGGAAGTTCATTATGTAAATGTTCGATAGCGCGCTATTCGGATGAATAAATAATGCTGAACACTCAAAAAAGTGGTATTGCAACTACAGCAAAAATTTTCTGGGTGCGCAAAATTAACTGAGGTACATAAATGATTAGCAAATACTGTGATATCGCATATGTTTCGCATTTAATCAATCTAAGTGACAGAGACAGAATTTATATCTGAACTGTTTGTGAAATTTAGAAAGAATGTTTTTCTGTGGCGCCTATCCATGTTAAGGCCAATCATACTTGTTATAAAGTTTGGCTGTGGTACACAGAAAAAATTAGCGGCAAGAAACAAATGAATATATAATCCTCACATCTAACATATTTGTATTACGCGCCCAATCTATCTAGCTCTTTTAAACAATTTCTCTCAATTTTTCGATGCTGCAGTTATAATTGGCAGTTATATTTCTCACAAAGATCGTTCTAGCTGTAGTATCGAAACTCATATTTATCCAATGCAGTGATTAACATTTGGCAATGGGACCTAAATTTTCTAGAAGATATTATTAGAATATTGCTGCTATAAATTCTATATGTAACAGACAATATTCTAACAGATACAAAAAATAGCGATAAATTTTTGTTGTGACACCTAGAAATCTACCTATATCAGCAAGACATTTTTTTGAGTGAATGATTCTAATGAATCAAGAGACATGGTAGTAACTCGTGCCCAATTGCACGCAGCAAATAGCAAGACTGTGTATTATATGTATTATATAGAGCGAGCTTGGTTGAAAATATCTTACAATTAGATTATCAGACTCAGAAATGGTTGGACTGACCGAGCTATTAATGGAATTAATCGATAATTTGCGTCCGTTTTAAAAATGAATATGTCTTTATTTTTGTTCTACACATTCTATAAATAAAGATATTACGATCCCAAGTCCCAATAGGAATTTTTATCATATATAAGAATCATCGCGCTGTTTTAAGAAAAATGTACTGTAATTTTTAATACGATAAGATTGCACTAGAAATCAATATATTAAATATTATATATCAATATCAATGTATCGTATTATTTATTATTATTAGTAAGGAAATAAAACTCGAGAAATAAAATAAAACCGATCAACATCATATATATCGTAATGTAATCTCATAACAAAGGTATGCGATTTACAATTTGAAATTATTATCAGATTTATCGATTGATAGATTTTGAATCTATCATTGAATCTATCAATCATATCGTTGTAATCTTGGTCTGCAAATGGAATCAGTAATAAAAAGTTTTAAAACATTTCTTTCTAATAAAAAAAAAATATTTCTTTCAATTACTGTACACACAGAAAAATATTATTCTATTGCTAAGTAAAATGATTACTCAGTTTACTTTACTTCTTTTAAGTAACAGTTATCTTTAACAAAGAATATTTTCTTAATAATAGTCTTAAAATAAACTTGTCACAAATTTTAGAAATACTCATTATCATATACTCAAAAAAAGTAAATATTTTCTTTTGAAGAATATTATAAAATTTTATCGAAGAAAAGTCAGATATGGTTAATTTAATGTAAGAAAATTTAATAGATCAGAAAAATTTAATGTATTTCTTTCAATTATATAATTTAATATTCTTGATTGAAATATTAAATTTATTAGGATTCAGAATATATTTTGAATAAATTTGATGCTTATGATGAACTTATGATAGATTTGCGGATATATAAACTTATGAAATACTTGAAACAAGTAATATTTACTTGTATATAGTATATATTTTTCTGTGTGTACATGATAAATGTATTATCACACAAAAACGTATAATCTTTCGTAAAACAATAGACACGGCGTATTTAAAGTTTCAATTTCTTTGTTTCCTGAATTTCGGAATTTGTAAAAAATTCTGAAAATATATTTTTTATAATAGAATATT